CAACCCAATAGCTGGGTCAAAACAACCAATAGCTGGGTCAAAACAGCCCAATAGCTGGGCCAAAACAACCCAATAGCTGGGTCAAAAATAGCTGGGTCAAAACAACCCAATAGCTGGGTCAAAAATAGCTGGGTCAAAACAACCCAATAGCTGGGTTTGTCCCTTTTTAACCCAGCGCTGGGTTATATTTAACCCAGCATTTTTTAGAGTGTATAAGCATTATATACTTTCTATAGATCTTTCAGTTGAGAGCTTTCGGTGTTTGTCTGTTGTTTCTAATCTTTCACAACCAAGAACAAAAACCTCATGCAAACCGCAGTAAACATTTGGCCTAAAAACACTAGATTGAGCTTATGAATTTTAGCCTGTCTCTAGACCAGAACATAATGGACAGCTCACGTTCTGCAGCACAAGCTCATGCTGCTTCCTCTCATGTGCTGGTTTCATGCGCCAGAAACCTCTACCAACCAATACAAAGCATCATTCATACCGGAGGTGATCCATTTACTCTGGGCACTTATCACAGAACATTTGTGTAATTCCCTGTACTTCTATTCCATTGCATACAGTTGGCAACAAAAAGCATTTGATTAAGTCGCTTTAAAATTTATTATTGTCATAGCATTAGATAAAATACTGAGTGGCATTTATTTCAAGAAAGACAAACTCTTGCGTCTCTGCTTGTCCGTTCCATTATGTGTGGTCAACACTAAACTGGCCCTCAGATGATTAATAAAGCTGCACTGCATAAATTTGTAAAGGGATGCTCAGCAGAAGGCACGGTCACGTGACACTCTGACATGCACATGAGCGCCACCTGTCGCTTTTACTGACCATCGCATATAAAAGCAAGGTCATCAGTGTGATTTAGCAAAAACAAAATGCAAAATGAGGCTCAGGATTTAAAAATATTATTGGCCTGACCATTTATTTATTTATTTTTTACATTAAACACTACTTTTTTATTTAAAAGAAAAACTTTAAACTATTTTAATTTATTAAACTTTATTTTTTAAATATGAATTTAAATGCTATTTTAAATTTTTTTAAATAATAATGTGTACTGTATAAGGTTATCATCATCAACTAAAACTAAACCCATAAAAACGATTTCATTACTTGAAACAAAATAAACATTAACATGCCAAAAAAAGTTGCCAAAGTAACATTTACATTTTTTTTAGATTAATTTGAAGCACCAAAATAACAAACTATGTAGACATTTTAAAAAATACACTAATTAAAAAAAAACAATGAACACAAACTAAAATTAAAAGAAAATGCAATTAATAAAAACCATTTAAAATATTAACAAAAATGATACCAAAAACACGTGTTCTGTACTTTTAAACATTTCTGTAGACATCTGAGACTGACTTGAAAAACCCAAAGTATGAGCAATGGAATAATAACCATGTTTGACTTACAGCATGTCAACTCTTCCACTAGAAGTATAACGCAGATGACTTTGTGCTGTAAGCCATTTTTTGATGCTTCCGCCAAGCACGTGAGATTTGCATATGAAAATCAAATATATAAGGCAAGTGCTCTTCAATCAAACCAAACGCAAAGGGCTTTGCAGGAAAGAACTGAAAACGTCTCTCTCATTTATTTGTACAGTATTGGTATAAAAGGTGATAAGATACAGTGACAGCCGGGGGAAAAGGAGAGAATGCTACCAGATTTCAGCAAAATATTAATATATGAATTCCACTGCCATCAGGAACAAGACATTTACTCAAGAACATTTCATCTTAGCCAGGAAGCATCGCAGGACTCACAAAAAAAAGTGTCAGATTAGCAGACCGTTTTCTGACTTGAACAAATATTCAAGTAGAACGAGAGTCCTTCAGGATTTACAGCAATAAAAGGAGTGGAATAAAAACCTGTTTAGTCTGGGTCTACATTAAGATACTTCTATTCCTTAGTTTTGGTCTGACATTTCACTTTGTATGCATAATGGCTAGGAACAAAATCTCGGTTTCTTTAGTCTGCTCAAACATCAGGTGTAAAACCACCAATTTATACATGCTTCAACAATTTAGTTTGGGCTCATGTGCCAAATAATGACTTACTGATTTAATAGTGGAGTGTGCTATAGAGTCCAAAAAGATCCCAAGTGGACTGAGACAAAAGATGATTCGGCTGGGCTGAC